GGCAACAAAAGCTACAATAAATTGCAACGAATTAATTTTCAAAGGCAACGAGAATTGAAATAAATTGCAACAAAATCCAAACATCCATTACAGCAGTACACAATACAAAATCCAATCTACAGCAGTACACAATACAAAATCCACTAAAACCAACATCCATTAGTACCTAAAGAATCCCAAACTACAGCAGTACACAATACAAAATCCATAAGTCCCAAAAGCCAGTCACAAATCCAAGTAGGATGCACATCAAGCTGGATGCATCCAAAACAACAGCAGTCATAAATTGACACTCATCATTCACGGGCATTGGAAGGGGCTGGATGCACATCAACAGCAGCATCATGAACACCTAGAGCACTCAACTTCTCCAAAACAAATGCCTTGAATTGTTGGAGACCTTCAAGTTCTTCTCTAATCTCATTCCTTACTTCGTCTCGAAGTTTCGATTTGAGCTCTTCCATTGCAGTTTGGGATGTGTTGTTCAGCGAGCTTGTAGCACCTGAAGAATTAGCACTACCTTTTGTCTTTTTTATGACACCCATCCTACCAACCAGCCCTTCACGACCATGATGATTTATCTCCGATTATGTCATGAAGCCGCACACTATTTTCTCCAGATGACAAATCTTCAATCCTTGTCTATATAATTAACAACCATAAATATAACAAGAGCAGTTCATGAATACAAAGTAATAATAATGATAATAAGGATGATGAGATGAAAATAGGGATTAATATTGGTTCACTGGGTAACACTAATTAATATTGGTTCACTGGATTTGACAGCAGTTGTTTACCTTTTGAATGGTACTCATGTTTTTGTATTATACTCTTTTTTTTTTTTATTTCTCATGCTTTTCAAGTTGCAATTTTTCAGTTCACTCCCCAGGTTTTGTTATATGAAACCGTTTGAAGGATCATTGTGACATTCTACAGCAAAAGGTTCAACTAGATGTGATTGCAGTATCGACCAAGAAGTAAACTTCGAAAATTATAAGATCTTTTGCGCAAACGAAGGGACTGTAGCTAAGCATCTTGATTAAGTTCTAATTTCTCTATTTTTTCTTTTTAAGAATAAGGAATCAAAGTCTTCTCCTCCCCATAATGAATAAAACATGCTGACCCAAATCACTGGAGGTTAATCCTAATATGCATGTAATGCTATATTATGAATGCGGATGAAATACTAGGTATCATATAATGTGTCACTATGGCATTAAACTGCATTTGAATCAGAAAAGCTATTATAGAATCCTAAACTTGTGATTTGTGTTGTAGAAATACAATCCAAGTATAACACTAAAATTAGAATCAAGTATAACATTAAAATTAAAATTGTATAACATTAATGTTATACAATCCAAGTATAACATTAAACTGCATTTGAATCAGAAAAGCTATTATAGAATCCTAAACTTGTGATTTGTGCTGTCAAGTATAACATTAAAACTAGGTAACTCTAATTTAGCCTTAAGGTAAACTTAGCCTTTAAGGTAACTCTAATTTAATCATAGTTCACATGCCTATGGAGTTTTTGAATTTACTAAGAATCATATTGATCATAAATTTGACAGCATAAATACCTGTTGCACCCAAAGGATGTCCAATTGCCATTGCACCCCATTAACATTGATCCTCTCTGGATCCAGCTCCAGCACCATCGCTTACTTGGCTGGAATTCTCTGACGAACAAAAGCCATAAAGAAAGCAGGAAAGATTTAAGAGATTTAAGATAATTGGCTTACTGATAATTGGCTTCACATTCTACTCCAGTAAATCACAAAAACACAGTTAGAAAGGAGAAAGCAAGATTGTCCAATAAAAAGGCTGCAGAACAAGGAGTGGAGTCAAGAGAAGTATATCCGCTGCATCAATCCATCAAGTCCTTTTCAAATTTAACAATCCATTAATCAACACATGAAAAGCATAAACTTGAAGGTATGTGTATATTCCAAACACTTTGTATTATTACTATCCTCTTATGATCTTATCTGTCATTGGGTAAAGATTTTTTCTATTATTTTTTCCCAGCAAGCAATGATGATCACATCAAAATAAAAAGGAAAAACCTCACCTTGGTCAGTGGTGGTGTGGGGCAAAAGAAGCCCCTTTTTTGTTTCCTGCAGGGTAACCAAGAACATATGATAAGCATCTTCACAGAATTAAATACATAAATTTCAGCCATCAATATCATTTAATAAAATTGAAAAAGCAAATTCCATTTAAATCCAAATGAATAAAAGCATGTCTTTACCAAGAAGCATTTGAACCAGAGAGAAGAATCCCGAGTCCTGTGGGATTGGAGGTACCTCAAGTCATTATAATCTAAATTCTCTTATTGCTATTGAAATTGATTTTCAGGTTCTCAGTTCTCACCTTTCTCTTTTCTAATAAAGATTGTCAATAAAACATACTTTTCCTCTTTCCTAGAGTGTGCTGCTGTGAAGTGTTATCACCTTCACATTGCATAGCACATAGACCTCTACCAAATATAAATCATACATAGAAAACTAAATCTACTGTATTTGTTTATGGAAATCATACTAAATCATACATGAAAATGAACATATCAGCTTCACTTTGCTAATTATGCCCTGCTGATGTTGAAACCACTCATCACATGAATTAATACCAATACTAACTGTACGGCATTTAGCATACCAGAACACTAAAAGAGCATTTTACCTTGTGAATCAGACAAGACAAGAGAACCTATGCAAACTAGAACCAAAGCCCTAAAAACCAATTCCATCTCCAACAACATCAACTTGGGTGATTACTGCATGGCAAAGCATAAGCCTCAATGAAGACATGAATAGTCCATCTGTGCAAGAATAATTCAACTTCAAATTACAAAATGCCTATCATGATTCAACAACAAGAAACTAATAAGACATGGAAATGTCAAGAAGACCAGAGCCTTAATGCAGCAGCATTAGATAATCAAAAAATTCAGTCCATACCAGGATCAACAGCCTTGACAAGGTCCTCAGCATGCTCAAATTCACGTAAAACTTCCCTCTCAATCTGAGAGGATATGTTCGCTGGCACAATATCACTATAATCTTCTGTATCAACTATAACATTAGAAACTCAACTCTCAACTCTCAACTCTCAAATTAACACAATTGGTAACATTAGAAACATTTTAACTATATCCTAAATATAATAGGAACTCTGCCTACTAATTAATGAAAGAAACATAAAATTACACCAACTGCATACCTAAATCACATTCCATTCTATTATATAGAGAACTGAAGCCTGTCAAAATTTTCCATCTGCATCACTGGCCAGATTGACCATGAATTTCAAACTAGCCTCAATTAGACCATGAAATCACTATCATTTGACATATTCCACACTTTCATGAAAAGTGCAAAATAAATCAAGCAAACACATATTTGATATAAGCCCTGCAGACATAAGAACTAGATAAGCAAAAATATGAACCTAATAGCAACCTTATGGCAGTTAAATCCAACATATAATGAAAAACTGAAAAGTGAATGCAAAAAACATAACATTCTTACCCCATCAGCATCTGCCTGTGAAGGTTGTCCATAACCACAGTGCACACACATGATCAAGCAGTCTAAGGGCCGCAACAACATTTTATCTAACCTGAAGAACCCTTACACAGTGGAGAAACTCATAATAACTAACAACATAAAGAGAATGAAGTATGAAAAAGAAAAAAAATTAAACTCACATTGATTTACCATAGTATCTAACCTGAAGAAAAATGTGTAATTACATGTCCTTGCAAGAGTATCAGTAAACACAAGAAGCTTTTCTCATTAAATTCATCAATACTTGAATTAGAATTCATTTGTACAGAGAGTGAACACCGAAAGATCCACCAACGGTAATAGGTTCTATGTAGCTCAAGATATCAATTAAATATCCAATTCAGAATCAGATTTAAACCATTAAAGAACAAGAAACTGAAATAAAACCAGGAAAGTAAGGATATATATAGTTCCTTCAGAATTTTCGATCCTTGCATCCATACAGAGCCACAAAAACTCAAAAATCTAAATGCATCTAAAGAGAAAATCAAATCCACTCAACACAAAGTGTAATCCAATTGCATACAACAAGAAAAAAAACATGAAAAGACTAGTACAAAAATAAAAACAAAAGAGAAAAAAATTAATGCTTTTTCTGCTATGACAAGTAAAAATCAAAACCGTAATTCAGTGGTAATCATTCTACAATGAATTGAAGCAGAAGGACGAGTAAAAAGCATTAATTAATGGACTAAGGAAGTCAAATTTCAGGGGAATGGTAGGAACATACCTTTGAGATGCCGTCGCATTTTCGAATCTGCAGCCTTCAACCAAAAGGGAAAAAATCGAGCAAAATAATTGATACACCGAATCACCATCTCACATCCTACGCAGTCCATCAATGCACTGCAATAGCCAGGAGATCAAGTAATGCCACAAAATCAAGCCACAGACTATTTGAAGAAATATAAAAATTCCAGCCACACATTATGCTTTAAAGAATTATAAAACTGAGAGAAATTAACATCCTAATTAGATATAGAGTTCAACAGTCTGCTTGGATTTTGCATTTGAAGCTAAACATATTATCCAGCTTTTACTGAGAAGTATTTCACAGAAGAATGAAAAGAAATAGAGGAAACACCTAATGTTTCTGAATTGCCATTGAATTTTCTGCTTCAGTTCCGGCCCACGTTGAATTTTCAGCATTTGTCTCATCAAGGAATGCGTCTTAAGGTCCTCATTAACGTTACCAGTATCATATTCAGCTTGTTCCAAATAGTTTGCAGTATAAAATATCCTGCAAAATGAAGCAGGCTTAGTCTGTTCATACATGTTTAGTGGACAGCAGACTTAACTCACTATTTACTAGTTCAAGATTATGATAAACTTCAATCTGATGGGTTGCCTTTACGTTACCAGTATCATATTCAGCTTGTTATAAAACATTGCAGCATAAAATATTAGTTATAAGCAAAATCATACCGAATTAAGAATGGACGGAACTCTCGACCCTCTCATTGCATCAGTTGCATGACCTGATAAAGCCTGTAAGAGATTTTCATTTCATTAGCAACTGTATAAACTCATTCATAATAAACTCGCAACCAACATGAAACTCAACAGATGACAAAATATAAATGTCAACAAAAAAAAGGGCAGAAGATAAGCAAAAAGGGACGCAATTGTACATGGAGATTCAGGAATGAAAAATAAGCCAGGTATGCTAATTTTACATGGTAAGATTCCTGCAAAACAATATGATCCAAGGCTAATTTAAGAATCCGTGTTGCATCTAACAGATCTTGCAGCTGAACAGCACTTTTAAGTTTTGTCTGGAGAAGAAATCCAAACTAAGCTGAGTAATCAGAGTAATTAAAAATATTGCCAGAAAATTGGAAATAGAAACTGAATCACCTTGAGCCCTGCAATGTGATTATCCACTTGGCTTATGTATGCAGCAGTCCTTCTAAGGTAAAAATCATCAAATGACTGGCCATTGTATGTAATATTTCCGGTTTTCTGAAAGAAATTAGTATGAACATAACACATTTCCTTTGTCTTCTTCACATCTTACTTCAGTGATCCTTCACATCTAACAAAGTATAGCAAAGAAGTTCATTTTCATATCAGTTTGGAAAACCAACAAGAGTAACATTAACATTAAATGTGTTAATGGGGTATTTATTCAAATCGATGAAGGAAGATCTCGCTGCAGCTTTAGAACTGTAACCCCTTAAAGCAAAACTTTAGAGTGGTAAAATTGACAAAAAATTAAACTTAAGAGCAATCAAAATATTAAAATAAAAATGAAAAAATTAAAATGTCGTCATCTTCTTGAACTAAAAAATTAACACAGTTATAATGAACAGATAAGAGATCTGTTAGCTCCAATAAAATGTATTCAATAATGCAAAAGAAACCAATTACGCAGCCAACAGTAGGTACTGGATAATTAGAACGGTAGAACCCTAATCACGATTTAGCATCTGGATTATACAATGCATTAGCTGAACAAATTAGGTGAAATTGGAAGTATACCTTTTTGCGTTTTCCGATAACCTTAAAGCCACTCCGATCAGACTTGCCAACATTAAAATCGACGGTCGTGATTCCCCCTTCATCCTTGAACGCGATGTGAGTAGAAGCCAGATCTGATTGTTCAAAGCAATGCGTTTTTTATGCCGTTCAAGTGTGTTTCGTGCTGCTTTAGCGGTATGATTGCAGAACTCCATGATCGCTTCTCCTTCAGGGTGCTTACATTTTTACTGCTGCAGTACAATATGCCATTACGAATTGTTTGGATGATAAGACGAGGAAGAAGAGGAGGGTTTAGAGGCAACATCATTGTCAACGGAGTTAGCAATGGGAATTAGAAGCTCTTGATCTCTCTCTCTCTCGGTCCCTTCCAGACATCACGATGGTAGATTTCTCATCGCTCGTAACGCACGGTGCGTACGCAGTGTATGGGCGTGGAAGAAGGGAGTGAGTTTATTTGTGTGTGTTCTTTATTTGGTTTTTTTAATAGTAATTACTTTTTTGGTGGGAGGAAAAATTGGCACCCAAAGAAAATGATTTTTTTATTTCTTAAATCTTCATACATTAATTTTATTAAAGTAAAATATTTTAATACCATTAATAATTTTATTAATTATAAATTTTTTTCTTCATATTCAAAACATGCTTTTAATGAGAAATTTTTTTAATCACTATTAATTTTTTCTCATTATTTTTTATCAAAAGGAGGACGGAGGACGGTGTGAAATTTTGGCTGAGCAGAAGTGAGATTTTGGCTGAGAAGACGAAAATACGAAGGAAGAAGATGATCGAAATCAATGTGAAAGGCGGATGATAAAAAGAGATTTAATAAGGCGTCGGCTTTATCACAATACGTAACAAGCAAACGAATCATTTCTCAAATTTTTAGTTAATTCTTAAAATTTTGTATGTTTATCAAATGCAACGAAAAATTATTATGTTTTATGTTAATTCGTTGCTTTATCTCAGTATCATACTATATAAGGCAACAACAAGTCATTATCGTATATTATTGTTACCTTAGTTAACAAAAAAACAATTAAAATTTCATCTAATGCAACAAAAAAAACTCAAACGCAACGAATTCGTTGCATTTGATATTTGAAGTCCAAATTTAGATTGTAATATGAAAAAAAGAGAGCTAAAGCAACGATTTCTGAATTGCCGTTGCAATAGGCAATCTATGGCGTAGTGTTGTGTACCACGATTAGGACACAAGGTCGCCTATCGAAGGAACTACTCACGAGCTCCGTACATACCACGTGTTCTACGTGAAACGTATATAGAGCCGTGGGAACCTTTAGCCGATTCCGAAGAAAAAGTGTCGCTTATGCTTCACAGCGAGGGCATAGGGGCACCTATTCGGATGAATCACCTGCATCGCCCAAAAGACTTAAACCCACATGTAGCAACCATAGCAATTTCCCACTAGGATGCCAAAATGTCTGCATTATAGTATCGCAAACCCACCTAGGAAAGAAATGCCTTACCGCGTGGAGTTATAAGGTTAGTGTTAGGGGTTGTTCTTCTTGTTGTATTGGTGCCAATTCATGCACGATCCATACATTTTCCATAATGCATGTTTTTGTGACATGCTAACCACATCTTGGTACAGCCACATGCATTAGTAGCCGGGGGGAGCACGTGCATGTTTTTGCTTGCTTTGAATGCCACGAAACACACACAATCACCTACACTAACATGCACACACGTGGATGCCACGCACACAACTCATGCTAGGCCATCATACATCTACAAGAGTACTCACTGCATTAGGCATACTCTATGCTCATGCATTTGCCACATTTTCCATGATACCATGCTCATGCATAAGCAATATCCACACACGTACCATGCTCATGCATACTCTATGCTCATGCATTTGCCACTTTTGCCATGATACCATGCTCATGCATATGTCATATCCACATACATATAATGCTCATGCATTTGCCATTGCTCACGTATATGCCATACCCATTTACGTGCCATGCCCATGCATTTTCCATGATCATGCTTTTGCCATGCTCATGCATGCGGTACATACCATGCCCATGCATGTGCCATGACCATGCATGAGTTCCGCAATCCGCACTACTATTTCATCCTTTTCAAAACAATGTGAGCATTTCGTAAAACCTTTTAACTAATGTGCATGGTCTTTTGAAAAGGATTTTCGCATGGATCTTTTCGAGTCAAAGCGAAGTGCATTCTTCAGACAGCTCAAGAGCTCAGATTGGAATCTACTCACTCCTTTTTGGTTAAGGGACGTCAGGACTTGTTTGAACATCCACATGTTGCCTGAATTCATCAGAGCTGCATCACAATGTTGGGATCTAGTCGACAATGTTTTTCGCTTCATCATGGCAGAAATGTGTCCGAAATTTAAAGAGTTCAGTGCAATTCTTGGTCTACCCAGCGACCGAGGGACAAGGATAGCCATTCCGATTTTCAATTTTGGGACTCCAAAGCAGATGGCCTCTTATCTAGGGTTATCCGATCAAGAGCTCAGAAATCTCTACAAGGACAAGACGATAGTGGGCTTTGATCTGAGGAAAGTTCTACATTGGGCCGAAGCTCATAATCATTCTCACCCCGTTTGGCCTTACTTTATGAGCCTCCTGATTATGCATCTGT